CAAACCCAGAGCCAAATAATGACATTCACTCATCAATGAGTATTTATATTATTGTGTGTATTGTTTCAGATTTTCCTCTGAAGCATAAGAATTTCTGCCCAGCCACTGTCCATGGAAGCCACTAGTGATTTGTTTTTCTTGTTTTTAGCTTCCCTAATCAATTCTAAAAAGGAAAGAAGATATACCCATCCAACTTGCTTTTGATTCTACATATATGAATTTTTTTTTTTCATTTTCAATCTCCTTTTCCCTCCGGTTTTCCCTCCTATATATATCCCCTTCATGCTCGGAGTTCAAACAACACCTTCCAAGTTCTTAGCTTGTGATTGTTTTCAAACATAAGATTTCTTGGTTGTTTAGTGATATTTCTTTCTGAATTTGGAGAGACACTGTTTTCCCTCCTGTTTACTCTATTTCCTATTGCGATGGCACATACAAGTGATCCCATCAACTCAGTTTTCAATGTTCTTAAGCCAAGCAAGAGGGATAATCTTTTTGAACTCTTTGATGACAAACTTTGTGTGAGAAATGTGCCATTGCTAACTGAAGTTCCTGGCAATGTAACCTTCAAAAGTTTTTCCTCTGTATGCCAAACCTCTGAGGCTCCTCTTTCCCTTATCCGCCGGGTCGAGTCCCTTTCTTACAAGGGCGGATTCCTAGGATTCAAGAAAGGGGAATCCTCAGACAGGTTGATGAATTCCCTAGGGAAATTCAGTGGAAGGGATTTCGTCAGCATTTTCAGGTTCAAAACATGGTGGTCTACTCAATGGGTGGGGAAATCGGGTTCCGATTTACAGATGGAAACACAATGGGCTATGATAAGTGTACCTGAAATAAGGTCTTATGTTGTGATAATCCCAATAACTGAAGGGAAATTCAGGTCTGCACTTCAGCCTGGACTCAATGGACATGCTATTATTTGTGCTGAAAGTGGCTCATCAAAAGTGAAAGCTACATCTTTTGATGCTATTGCTTATATTCATGTTTCTGATAATCCTTACACTTTGATGAAAGAAGCTTATAGTGCAGTTAGGGTTCATCTGAATTCATTCAAACTTATTGAAGAAAAATCGCCTCCACCTCTAGTGAATAAATTTGGCTGGTGCACATGGGATGCATTTTACTTGACTGTTGAACCTGCTGGAATCTGGCAAGGAGTGAAGGAATTTGCAGATGGAGGGATTTCGCCACGGTTTTTGATCATTGATGATGGGTGGCAAAGCATCAACATAGATGGGCAGGACCCTCACAAGGACGCTAAAAACCTCGTTCTTGGAGGAACACAAATGACTGCTCGTCTTCATAGGTTTGAAGAATGTGAAAAGTTCAGAAAGTACAAGGGTGGATCGATGACGGGGCCAAATCGTCCACCATTCGATCCCAAGAAGCCTAAGCTGTTGATTTCCAAAGCAATTGAGCTCGAGATGGTTGAAAAGGCACGGGATAAGGCTGCTCAATCTGGTGAGACAGACTTGTCTCAATACGAAATTAAGATAGAGAAACATAGTAAGGAATTGGAACAAATGTTTGGTGGAGAAGAGGTGGGAAATCCCTCAAACAAAGGATGTTCAAGCTGTACTTGCAAATCCGAGAACTTAGGACTGAAAGCTTTTACAAGAGACTTGAGGGCAAATTTCAAAGGATTGGATGATATTTATGTATGGCATGCCTTAGCTGGTGCCTGGGGTGGGGTGAGGCCAGGAGCCACCCCTCTGAATGCCAAGATTGTACCTTGCAAATTATCCCCTGGACTTGATGGAACCATGACTGATCTTGCAGTGGTGAAAATTATTGAAGGTTCGATTGGACTCGTGCATCCGGATCAAGCTGATGAATTCTATGATATGATGCATTCTTACCTTGCTAAAGTTGGTATCACGGGAGTAAAAGTGGATGTTATTCATGTAAGTTCATTTCTTGGGATCTTATTTTTCTTATTGTGTTTGTCGTTTTTTTAGTCATTTTCTAACCAATCTATTGATAAACATCCCTAATTCAGACACTAGAATATGTTTCTGAGGATTATGGAGGTAGGGTGGAGCTTGCGAAGAAATATTATAAAGGGATATCAAAATCCCTGTCTAAGAACTTCAATGGAACTGGACTCATATCCAGTATGCAGCAATGCAATGACTTCTTCTTGATGGGAACTGAGCAGATATCTATGGGAAGAGTTGGTAAGAAATACTTCACTTTCTTTTGTATTGTCTCAAATACAACAAAAAATGTCCTAATCCCTTTACCAGGGTGGCAAACCAGGGCGAAGGCCGTCACTCCTTAGGATTAGTCGGGCGTAGCTCGAACACCTAAGTCACCAAAAAAAGAAAAAAAAAAGTCTCAATCCCATCAGCCATTTTTCTCTTAGTTTACTATAAATTGGTGCTACCGTTTTGACGTATATCCTCACTTCTTACCTTACCGTTTTAACAGGTGATGATTTCTGGTTCCAAGATCCCAATGGTGATCCAATGGGAGTTTATTGGTTACAAGGTGTTCATATGATTCATTGTGCCTATAACAGCATGTGGATGGGACAGTTCATACAACCAGATTGGGATATGTTTCAATCTGATCATTGTTGTGCAAAATTCCATGCTGGGTCCAGAGCTATCTGTGGAGGACCTGTTTATGTGAGTGACTCATTGGGTGGCCATGATTTTGATCTCTTAAAGAAGCTGGTATTCCCTGATGGTACCATCCCCAAATGCCAATATATGGCTCTCCCGACAAGAGACTGCCTCTTCAAGAACCCCCTCTTTGACAGCAAAACCATTCTCAAAATTTGGAACGTCAACAAGGTATAATTTTCGATTCCAGTACACCAAGATAACATGAGCATGTAAGATAGATTCGCACACAAGAAAATCCATATAGTGGCCTTAAGGGCAACTTATTTGTCAACTTCTTTCATTACCTTTCCATCACAACAAATATCTCTTACAACTAGCATCCCTTTTTTCCCGATCTAATTCCTCTACACTCATCAGTACAAAATACAAAAAATTCCACATACCTACAGTAGGAAAGAATTTTACTTCAGTACTAATAGTTTCCTAATTCCTTGATTGATTTGTTTAATTTTCTATCAAATTTTATAGTATGGAGGTGTGGTTGGTGCATTTAACTGTCAAGGTGCTGGATGGGACCCTAAGGAGCAAAGGATCAAAGGCTACTCCCACTGCTTCAAGCCAATATCTGGTTCTGTTCATGTGAGTGACATTGAATGGGATCAAAAGAAGGAAGCAACTGAATTAGGAGAAGCTGAAGAATATGCAGTCTATCTCACTGAGGAAGAGAAACTATTCACAACAACAAACACTTCCGATGACATTCCGATTGTCATCCAGTCGTCTACTTTCGAGATCTTCACCTTTGTCCCAATCAAGAAACTCAGTCGGGCCGTCAAATTCGCGCCTATCGGACTAACCAACATGTTCAACTGTGGAGGGTGCATCGAAAAACTGTCTTACAATGGGACTAATGCAGAAATTGAAGTTAAGGGTGGAGGGAATTTCTTGGTCTATTCCAATGTCTCACCTAAGAAATCTTACCTAGATGGCTCAGAAGTTGGATTTGAATGCTCTGAAAATGGCAAATTGGGATTGTTCCTTCCATGGAATGAAGAAACTGAGGGCATTTCTAATATAACTATTGTTTTCTGATCAAAATCCTGAGGCCTTATGCCCTTTACTATATGTGGCAGTAACCCTAAGAAAGTCACAATGAGTGGCTGCTAAAAATGTTGAAGTGTTCCTATAATAACCCACTAGGCCAAAGTTCAAGTGAGAAGAATTTTTCGTTTGGGTTTGTTTATTTTATCTATTTGTATTTCTTCTTGTCTTTGCAGTCTACAAACTAAAACACATTTCATAAATTTTGTCAGTCATCTTACCTAGTCTCATCCAGTACAAATTATCAAAAATATGTCAAAAGAATATACTAGTTAATCTAGAAAATCTTAGATTATCACATTTAAGATTAACTTCAATCACAAAAAAGCATCTCTAATAGGAACTTCGGATGGAAACATACTATAATCTGATTTAAGAGGGTTAATATTTTAATGGTCACTGAACTATGCACTGACCCATTCATGACTCAAAACGGTGTTATTCGTTGAACCTAACGGATCTTCTCCATACTAAATAGATTTACTATGGGGATTGTATCAGACATCCACCCAAATCAACGTAAGCAAAGCATATTTGCAGAAAGCATTTTATCCCACGTTTTTTTATATCTTGTCGTTGCAAGAAGGCCTCAAATTCCCAAAATAAACCATAATGCAGCCCCAAATGAGATGCGAAATTCCCTTTGCAAATCTCTGTTGTTATTCTTTTCTACATGGATTATTCTTCAAGCTCATATATACGAAGGACGGATTGTTGTGTCTGTGTGGATAAATGGCTGCAGTTAAGACATCTTGGAAGGAGACAAATTCAGAAAGGAGGTTTTGTTGGAAACTATTTCATCAGTTTCTTTTGGTTGAATGAAAAATTAGAAACAGTTTCACATTTTGGTTCAGTTTCAAGTTGTGGTTGAATGTAAAATTAAATCTCATTCTTCATTACCAGTTTTAATTTCAGCTGTTTCATTTGTTACTAAATGGAAATTAATGCTATGGTTAAATGGAAATCAAAGTAGCTTACTTATATAAAGCCAACCTCATTCTCGGTTAACGACACTATGAACAAAATCAGCAGCCTCGGTTTTGTTCTTTTCTTCCTTTGCTAAAGTTCTT